GAAAGCATCTGCCAGGAAGCCCTTTTACAAGCAAACGGATGAATCGTAATTAATGGAGAGATTGTAAATAATATTCGATACGCGGACTACACTGTACTAGTTGCAAGAACAGTAGAAAAATTACAAAGATAACTTACAGACATAAATATTGCTTGCAACAATTATGGTATAAAAATATCAATATTAAAAAAACCAAGTATATGGTCTTCAGTAAAAACATGACACAACCAGCGTATATTAGTATAAACGGCACTCAAGTTGAAAAAGTATCAAGTTACAAATACTTGGGAACTTTAATGAACGAAACTGGAGACCAAAACAGTGAAATAAAAAGACGTATCGAAATTGACAGGGCCACCTTCATAAAGATGAGAAAATTCTTCTGCAACAGAAATATAAACATCCCTCTACGATTAAGAATGCTGAGAGGCTATGTATTTAACACTCTATTATACGGTGTAGAGGCCTGGACTCTCAAACAGAACAACATGAAAAATATTGAAAGTTTCGAGATGTGGTGCTACCGTCGAATGCTGAAGATTAGTTGGGTTGAAAGAATAACAAACTGTGAAGTAATACGAAGAATAGGAAAAGACCCAGAGATTTTGTTAACGCTAAAGCGAAGAAAACTCGAATATTTTGGTCACCTGATGAGAGGACATAAATACGCATTACTTCAAAATATAATGCAGGGAAAAATAGAAGGAAAACGGAATACAGGCCGTAGAAGAATGTCATGGTTGCGGAATTTGAGAGAGTGGTTTGGCTGCACCACTAATGAACTCTTTAGGTCAGCCGTAAACAAGGTTAGAATAGCCTTGATGATTTCCAATCTCCGATAGGAGTGGCACAAAACTAAGAAGAAGAGATTAAGTGGTAAAATTTAATGTTAATTAGCAGATCATATCATTCGAAAAGAATAAGAAGATTAAAACAAGAAGATTTAAAGTGAAATAAGCAGATCATATTTTGGAAACATTGAGAATGCAAGTGTGATAGATGTCAGAAATTAGACACGATAGAACATATTAATGATAAACTGTATGAAATTATAAATAAACTTAAGCTACCCAACAAAATATTAAAAGGATGAGTAAAGTAGTCTGTAGAATATAATCTTTTTCACTAGGCTTTGAAACATATCTTATTTTATTACATCGATCGAGAAGCCCTGGCAAATTACAGGGATGTAGTAACTTTCATAAAAAAAAGTAGCCTAAGTTAGGCATGATACCTGTCAAGAGTGTATGAATGCTCCCAGATAATCCCAATTATTATCAATATTAATATCTATGGGAAATAAAAATAGGAACAGATCAAAACTGAAGTGGAAGATTGAAGTGTAGATGAGACCGCCAGGAAGATTATCGTGGTAGATTGGAAACGGTTGACAGTGGGCATGATAGGCTAACCGCGATGATTATGACGATAATATTGATTCGATTGTAGAAAAAATAGATGATCTTCATGAAATAACAGACATCTAGCTGTCATGGAATGAAAAACTGATAAAGAAATTGTCAATTTATCCTACGTACTAAAAATGGGCTATGAAAAGGCGACCAGTACCTAATATCTATGAAAAGTTTACTTTAAAATAAATCTCCCACTGTTTTAATAGCACAATAAATAAACATGTGGTGGTTAGTTTATAAATTTTAAACTTCTTTACTTTTTACAACTAATAATTGTTGAAATTTGTCCCCACATTCAAACCGTAATTTTAAACAGTAGAATTATACAATAAGTACAAGAAACGATTGAAAACTTAATTAGTATAAGTTTAAGAGTAAAATTTAAAATATTTAAAAACAAATAAATTTTTATTTCAACTACGAAGCATTTTAGTTTTTAATAAATTGTCTTGACTAAACAAAACTGAAAAATAAGTGTCTAAACTATTACTAAACTTAATAAAATAGATTAGACAATTCTACGCAACTGATACCGGAATACTTCAAATTGTATTGACAGTTCAGCGGGTGGCAAAGGGTATAAAGTGTTGCCGTTTTTTTAGAGTAAGAATTTTGTTTATGTTTTTTATGTCTGTAGAAAGCTGATAAGCTTTCATATAAGATAGATTATTTTGAACAAGAAATAATGGCGGGACGTTTTTACTATTACAGCCCTAAAAGAGGTAAGTTTAAAATTTAGAATACATAATTTTTTATTAAAATATTTTCTTATGTATTTTCGTGTGTTGCAATAGTCTTAAAACTCAGTGTATTTACTGTTAATATAATAGTTGACAAATAGTTGACATCTTAAAAATTCCTCACTTACTAACTATTCTGATGTTTTGGCAACGCTGCGGGGTTTTAACGTCGTAAATCTTAAATGACGTGCAAGCATTTTTATGTGAAAAATGCTATATAATTATCTTTACTTTTACTTAATATAGTAAAAACTGTATTGATGAAACCACTCTAACATTAAATGTTAATTAGAACAATAAGTTACCTACGTCAGTGAAATTCAAAGTAATAATAAGTTTTTAATACGATGTTAAAAGCTGTAACTACATGGGAAATTTTTATTCAAATAGGTAATGTAGATACGCACATCCAAAATAGTTTTAGATAAATAATGGTCAATTAAAATAGTTTTTAATAAATGTTTGTATCTACTTTGCCGTAAGCTAATCAGTAAATACAAAATTATTTTCCTTATATTTAAGTGTTTGGAGAAATGTGAATTCTGTGGATGTGGACAATATACAGTAAAATTTCGATATTACGGACCTCTATTTAACGGACTTCGGATATAATGGGCAGAAAATCCGATCAGTAAAACTGTAATTTACAAAAAAAAAATTCAATTCAATTTAGCATAAGAGGAACATAATTGGGAATACCGCCAGAAGAGGTGAAATGTTTATTGCTTTTAGACAACGCTCCTGCTCACCCCTCTAAAAATATTCTTCCTTCAGAAGATGGCAACTTTAGCTGTATGTTTTTGCCAAAAAATACATCACTTATTCAACCCATCCATCGCAGACAGTTTTTAGACAAAGTAATGGTTGTATTGCACGATGGAGATAATGCAGAATATACAATAAGACAGCGTAGCTTGCAAAACTTAAGGTCTTACAATTTAAAATAAAAAAATTTAATTTTTCTGCACTATGGGAGGAGATGAAAGAGCAGACATTAAAAAATGGTTGGAAGAATTTGTTTGATGGCCAAGATGCATAGATTTAGAAGGGTTGGAAGTTATTGATCACCGTAGGACAATAAATAATTATGCAGGAGAACATGTAGCTGAGGAAGATGTTTTACAATGGATAGTAATAGATCTAAAAAAGGTGACCCTGAGCTAGAGAAGGTGACCCTTGATATAATCATAACTGAAAGACAAATAGCAGATGAAGTTATGAACCTAAAAAGTGAGGATGAAAGTTTCGTAATTTTAGAGAGTTGATCATAAAAAACAGCAAACATCGAAATTGCAAATGAAAGTTGATTCCTTTTTTAAAACATGGTTACCGACAGCAAGCGCGTCGATATCCACAGCAACGTCACTTCACGACGAATGTCCGAAGACAAGTAAATAGAATTTTGTTTGTATTATTATTATTATATTGCTGAACAGATGACTAAAATCTGTTTCTAACAAGGTGCTATACGACCCCCTTTGTTATTTAAAATTATCGTGGTGATGCTTATAAAGGGGTATAAAGGGGGTGCTGGAGGGTTATAATATTTTCATACTGTAAATTGTCAATTTAAGAATAAAAGTCAACCAGTCAACCTGTTTCAGGTTTTTTCACATAGTACATAATAATGCTACAAATGAATTTATTCCATACATTTGGACCGCATGCTATAAAGGATAGCTAAAATCCGATTAATTATGAAAATTTGAATGTAAAACTAATAGATCTTAAAACTTTTGATATTTATTTAGACTTACGAGTATATATTCGGTAAATTTTCACTTAATTCGCTGTATAAAGAATGAAATCTCGCGCATCAAGAGTAAACATTTTGTTTACATTTCCTGCATAAACGTGGCAGGAAAACATTTCTCTTCTTACTGTACTTAAAAAATTATAAAATAAAAATCCCGATGTGGCAAAATGGTTTTCAATTTTTCAATACAAATTTTTAACTTTAAACAAAAGTTCTTTTGGAAAGTTGTCACATTTCTATTTACAATAATCATTTTAGGGAACCAACGAAATAAGCAAAAAACTTAATTACTACCACAAAATAATATCAATCAGAATGCCCACTCTCAAATGCCGCCTTTGAAGGTGTCAGGACGCGATCGCCATATTTTAAACGGAAACACAGACTCGGATTGAAAAATTTATGACAAGCTACGACAAAAGCTTAATTTAAATTTTTGGAGATTAATACTTTAGTAAATTTGAAATAATTTAATCTATTCTTCAACTAAAAGTACTACATAAAATATTGCATATTATGTCTATGGTTGCCGTCAATAAATTAAACCGGGTTAATTTTTCTATGCACACCAGATAAAATTTCACTGAACACCACTGGTTCCGTTTAAAACATGGTGCTGATTCTGTCTGCTCGAACGAGTTGTGCGTACCTACTTACCTTGACAAGCAGAGTGAGCATTCTGAATCATAGATAAATAAAAAGTGGATTTTCACAGGTCAGATATCCGACGGTACGATGATACGATATAAATTTCACCGAATTTCATTGGTTGAAAAATGACAGGTAGGATTTTCGTACGAAATCATCAAGTCATCGAAAGAAGTTAAAAAAAATATTTTAACTTTTGCACGAAAATCGGATGAATTTTGACATTGTTGACATTTTAACTTGAACTTTAACCTTACTTTTGTGGAGTGTTTATGTTTACTATTTGAAATATATTTAAAATGGAACAAAGACCTAATTATCATATAAAAATGCAATAATTAAAGTGTTGCTTTTGTGTCTTCTAGACTATGTGAGGCAAAAACGACGAAAAAGTAGCTCAATATAATATATATTTTATCAAACAAAACAGCTAACATTTATTGATAGTTCATTGAAATAAATATCAATCGATCCAATAATCTTACACATAACACATATATTTGACATACTTATATGTCAAAAAATTTCGGATGCGACAATCAAATATATTCGTACGAAAAAATTTCGTATTTCGTGTCATCGGATCTGTGAAAATCCAGCTATACAATAAAGAAAATTCTCATTGTTTTATTATTTTGTGGTACTACTGTACTTTTTTTATGCTGCTATGACGTCTGACAATATTGAGCATCGAGCAAAAAGACAAAAGAGGGAATCTAATCGTTATGAAAAGGAGACCAAAAAAGTGGCCTCTGATGGCGGACATATCCGGAAATGCGAATGCGCCAAATTTAAATTGTCCGACACTTATTAACAGTAGCTATATAATATTTTTCAGAATGTGTTTTAGATGAGAAAGTTTTAAGTAATTATTAACGGTAATAGTCTAAAATGCGACACAATTGTTAAAAAACTTCAATATAAATAAGATTTTATGGGACATTTATAACAAACAATAACATAACCCAACTAAATTTGATGTCAAACAAGGAGAGATACTCTCTTTCCTTGTTTAATGTGGCCTCTAAAGATCGCACTTCCTGTCTAACAATATTTTTGCCCACACTACCTTTACATTCCCTCTTTTGTCTTTTTGCTCGATGATATTGAGGTATCATGTTATAATTAATGGGTACACTTTGTCAAAACTCGGAATGACTTTGAAAATTCTACAATCGGCATGCCACTTGATGCGCATCAAAAGTATCCGAAAATATCTTAGTAAGAGAAGTAAACACGACGTGTAAACTACGTTTAACAATAACATAGTCGAGTATCTTTCCCTCCCAATACTTCTTATATTGGAAATATCCGGTATACGGAAGTACACGGAAAGCATCCATTTTAAAAGAATCTATGCAATCCATGTCAAAGCAACTAAATAGCTTGATTACTATTGTTCTGAAACTATTTTCTTGTGGCATTACTATTCTAAAGTAATTACTATTTAAATGGGAATAAGTCACAATTATTAAAGGTTAAAGTAGGTATGTTTATTGACGTTTCATTGTCCGAAGTGGAAATTGAAACGTCAACAAACATACTACCTTTAGTTATGGCTTATTCCCATTTAAATAGCTTGATTACTTGTGTTAAAATATTAATTGTTATGATTTTCATTTCATCGTAATTATAAGATGTAGAATTTTTTATAACATTTCTAACAAAATATTTAAACCGGGTTCAATTAATTGTTATTAATCAAGCAATTCATGTTTTCTGCTTATTGCGTTGTTCTTAAAGTATATTACAGTTCCAAACTAATTTTAAGTCCATGACAGAGCAAAATTTAAAACAGCAAAACAATCCATCGTATCCGTTTCAAACCACTGCACAATCTCGGCGACTTGAAAAATCCATCAGACTAAATCTCCTTCGCTCGAAACCACAAAATAAAAAAATTTCAAGTTCAAGTATAGTCAGAACTTCATGTCGCTTTTGCGGAATCCGCGTTATCGTTAGTACATCCATGGAAGAACTTCACTACGTTCATACTAACGGGTGTAACGGGCGTCGGAGGTGTCTGCGGCGTCCAGTCTGCAAGTTCTACCGTTTTGGCAGGAAGTGGAGGGTCCTTGACCCGATGGAGCTGCTGCAACGCTTCCTCGTATGTTGGTAGGCCCGATGCTATTGTGTAACTTGGTAGTTCCGATTCCGGTAACCCGGTTTCTATGTTGCCAGCGTTTCTCGCTTCTATAACTGTAACAAAAGAATAAAAATTAGTCATGTGGGAAATACGATTAGGAAGAAATTTCTTAATGACAATAACTGGTTATTTGTTTTAATAGTGGATAAACCGAATGTTTCTATTTTATTACTTTTTAATGGAAGGTTACGATATTTATATAAAAACTATGTGTAGAACTTCTATAATGGTAATGTCTTGAGGAAATCTTACAGATATAAGAATAATAAAGTGGTTTTAGTAGGTATATTTTCCCCATAAAAACATCCACAAAACTACATGGCAATCAGCAAAGAGTCAAACAAAAAACCACATTGAACATGTACTTGATAATAATGATAATAATAATTATTAAAGCGAAGCTACTTGTCACGGGCAGCATTACGAAATAGCGAATCTTTATAAGTATTATCTATTAACTACTCTCAATTAATTCCTGTCTAGTCATCACAATTATATTTATTCTAAGCAGGTTTAAAATAAACACTGTTTGAAAAATGTCTAACAAAATGCAAACATTAAATAAAAAGAAAAAACTAAAAGAATATATTATGTCAATAAAAGATTTGATTTGTAACGATTGTCAAAATTTAAAAGTCATAAATTAATAATTAAATCTAATTAATCATAGGATCATCTATTGAATTATCTGTTTCAATGTTTATGACACTTTTTCAAAACAATTTCATATAAACACAATTAATATTTTTAAACATCTACAGCTGGCGCCGTTTTTCGCATCCTAATTTCCAGGGTTTTCTATCGAAGCAATCTTTACTTTATGCATATCGCGCTCATCTGCTGGTATCTTCGACATTGTCTCTCCATGATCGTCTTGGTCTACATCGTTTTCTTCTAGTGGGCAGAGTCCATTTTTCTATCTTTTTGGGCAATTATTTTCAGGAATTCTCTACAGGTGTCCATACCAGTTTAGTCTTTTGGCTTTGATAGTATCTGTTATGTCTAGGTCAATTTCCAATTCGCTCCTAATGTCTACGTTTCTCACCCTATCAAGTCTAGTATGCCGGCATAGTAAAATTAGGGTGTTTTGAAAGTTAATCGCATGCAAAAAGCAGAATTCCACGTGGAAAACTCTATCGAATGCCTACTTGCAATTGTTTTTCACGAAATTTGTTATAATTTCGGTTCTAACGATCAGATCATAGTTTTTGTTAATTTTTTCAAAATAAACAATTTTCATTTTGTTAAAATTAAATATCTCTAATAGTTTAGGAGATACAATCAGTACTTTGTAGCTATCTTCACAGCAGCGTATTCAGAATGATCTGATTTATTTATATTTATATATGATCATAAATTTTTCGGAAATATGGAGCCTTCAAAGAAAATTTCCCTTGGATTTAAAAAAACGAATAAAAAACCATTGATTTTTAACAAACCTTTAAATAAAAAAGTGAATCATATTGTCAGTTTAGCGGTTCAATCAGTCAAACTGAAGGATGAATCAAAAGAAGTTAAAAAAAGCTGCTTTAATTAAACCTCTAAAGGATAATCAGAAAGATCTTCTACAAAGAGATAGGGATATGAATGCCAAACAAAAAAAACACTATAAAAATGGAAATGATTCAGTTAAAGACAACAGGCCTAATTCTGACTTAACAATAGAAGAATTGGCAGCTCCGGAGATAGTAAGAGAGGCAAAACAAAGATTAGCGCTTAAAATAACATAATTGACAGTAAAGTTTTTGTAGTCTCTGTAAAGAAAGCAGATGAACTTCCCTTGGAAGGTAAGGTGAAATCGATGTTGGTCTATCATGAAAATATTCCAGTAAATGATTTTGATCTAGCAATGCTCAGGGAAATGGGTTGAAAAGAGAGATTGAGTATTGGGAAAAATCCAGTCAAGATTACAGCTGTGAAAGCAGCAGATCTAGACCTAACGGTTTGGGATTAGGAGCAAGTATTTTAATTATTTTGGAAACTTCATTAAAACTAGCTATAGACAACAAACGTCGAGAACTGGTATTAAAAAAAGGTTGTTATGCAACAATAATTTTAACAATTAAAATTGTTTTCTAATATGACAAAATCTAATGACTTATAAAATAACTTTTGTTTTTTTTTTAATTTTGTTGACTTATTTTCTTATTTCAGTTATAGAGTTACAATTAATCCATATGTTTAACCTTTCTATCTGGTAATAAAACAAATGTATCTTCGTTAACCAAGTTTATCGCAAATAGCTAAAATTTAAGATCAAAAATACATAACAAACTTTAAAAACAACGAAGGGGTATACTGATTAAAATCATTTCCGGATCGTAAAAACTGCTAATGAACTTTCTGTTGTTGATAACACAATCTAAATGATTTGTGACCTGCCAAAAGTCTTAAGTTGATAAGTGAAGTAAATGTAAAAATATAAAATTGATATATTTAAAAAAAGAAATAATCAGAAAAGTAGTTATTGTTACTAGTCAAATAATCAAGAAATCTATTGCTTTGACGAAAAATAATTCCACAATGAAGAATATTCACATCAATATCATCCGAGTAATTAATGATTTGAGCATGGCGTTCATTGGAATGTTATTAAATACACTTTATCAGTAGTTCCATTGACGTCATACCATCAATTCTTTTAAAAACATATCTTTAGGTAATGACTTTTTAACCAATACAAAAATAATTAACTGATAACGACGTTTTTTTTTAATTTTGAACATTATTCATGTGTATTCTTTGCTTACCAACATACCAGCATAGATAACTGCACAAAAAAACTAACAGATAAGATTGTAGATAGTATAGGTCAGAGGAATAAGGTTAAGGAGTGCTATTATTATATGTAGAAAAAGTTAGATTTGGTATTTACATACGGGAATGTTTGAATACTTGAATCTTCTCATCGAAGAGCCATCTTGAAAGCATAAGTCAACCATGAAACAAAAATAGAAACCAAAATGTTCATCAAATATCTGCTAATTCCAAAAATAAATAAAACAAAGTGTTTTTGTTAACATTTATTATTTTTCGTTATATTTTTTTCTATATTCGTTTGAATTGAGTAATTATAATTATCAGATATTCAAAAAGGAGCGGTAAAGAACCTTAAACTTTTAATTCGTATTCGTCTTGGAGTGCCGCATCTTTACAAGTTAATAATTTAGTCCCGAGGAATAAGGTAAAGCAGTACTCTGTTGGGGACTTTTACAAGGCCAGGTATCTGATAAGTTTTTTAAGTTATATCTGCCCAGGGCAAAACAAAATTTGGCTCCCGTTCATATAAGAATATAAAAAGGCTCTAGCGGTTAAGATAGTGAAAAATGCACCCAGCGATATTTCAAAAATAAAAATAGGGGAGAGTAGTACACAATGAGACATTGTATACAATAAGACATTATTAATATTAAGTATTATTATGGTAGTGGTTTGTTGTCGGGTTTGGCATGAAAAACGCAGTGCAAAAGGACCTAGAGAACATCCACACTCCAAGAGCGTCGCCTTAGGCTTTTATCTTTATGGAGCCGCTTCACGTCCACACAGTGTGAAGTATATGGAAGGCCTATTACATTGCGAACTGATAATCAAAATATCAGAAGCTTTTACCTTACTTCCTACCGTCTTCAGTTTACCCTACCTGTTACTCATAGACATTGAAGTGCAGAGTACCAAGCTCAGATCACTCTGATGTGATCCACCTCAGAGACATATATACAAAAAATTGTTGTAATAAATTCAGTATTACTAAGGCACTTAGTATATTTATAAAATTGAATATCTGGCCAAAAATAGACAATAAAAGCTTTAGGAAAAATACTTTATCTATCCTATCAAAAAGGTAATATCTAACTGATAACAAGTCAACTGATTTTTATTAGATCCCACATGAAATCTTACGACAAAGCATGTTATTTATTTATTTATGTTAAGTTCTTTGTAATATTTCAGAGTGTAAATTACAAAGATTTTCTCTACAATAACTGCAAAGTTGTCAAATTAAATTAAATTCTCAAAGTATTGACTTTAACTATTAGTACCAACTGTAGAATAATTATTCAATTATTACATAATTCAAAATATTTAAACAAATAAATAGATTTGTTTATAATAATAAATATAGCGTTAAATATATAGATATAATATTTTAAGAATCTTGCGATTATTATTGATGTTATATGTATGGCTACAACTACGAAAACCTGGCTACAAGCCGTCTTATCTCCCTCTCTGTTTCTTTCTCTCTCTCTCTCTCTCTCTCTCTCTCTCTCTCTCTCTCTCTCTTTATCTCTATCTCTCACACACATACACACTCACACACACTAGTGATAATTTAAAAAAGTTTTGAAACTTTCTTATTTTTTTGAAACAAAAACAACAAAAACGGACCACAAAAAAATACAGACATCTAAAAAAACTTATGTAAAATAAAATGCCTTATCAGCAACACATAAACAAGTTTTATTTCGATAAACATGTTCAATGTTATTGTAAATATCATGACAATAAGTCATTCAACCCAAAAAGAATGTTAATAGGGGTTGGAATGATTGTAGCAGGTGTCACCCAACAAGCAAACACTGTTGGGTTAAAAACTTTACAAAGTAAGCTGTGGCAACGATATCGTAAAACAAAAAATTTGTATGTGGCTCCTTGAGACCGAGAAATAGTTTCAACCCCAATCCAAGACCGTTTTATTGCTTTTAAAGAAAGGAGAAATAGACTGCCGAGAAATTTTGTCAAATATCCCTTAATTTAACTGTGAGTGGTGAGTGGTCTATCAGAAAGTGTACCTATCTGTCGTCAAGAAACTCTTCTTGGAATTTAATATGCTAGAAATCTGTGTACTCGGGAATATCTAAATTCGACAAATACACAATACAGTTTTGTTCACGTATGAGTACCGATTTGGTCTCCACCCAGATCAAGAAGACCAAGAATTTGGTGACAGTTCAGATTAGCTGTAAAAAAAATAGTAAAACCTAGAAACAATTAAACAGATCAACTTTTGTGGTATAGGGTTGTATCAGCAAAAACTGATTCCGTTCTACTT